AGCTGCAAAGTGACAAGTGTGCATGACCTCACTGAAAACCCACAACATCTCCAAGAGGGAGATGCGATTACTGAGGGGCAGATGGAGGAACAAAAGTTCAGAGCAGCCTAGGCCTTTCTAACTTGTCTAACGTTGTACAGCTCCTTTAATGGGGTCAAGAACAACTAAACAGAAGATCAGCCAACTGGGACATCTGTTCTTGCAGACAGAGTCCCTTTCTAGGACTCCCTTCTAATTTCCTCTAAATTTGGTTTGTTTGTTTGTTTTTTACCTTTTGGGCATTTGTGAGAGTTCTCATGAACACGTCCTCCTGACCCAATGCGCCAGAAGGGGCCACATCACCCCCTAAAGTGTGTTCCTCAGCTACAACCGCAAGAAGCAGATAAGACCAGCTTTGTCTCAATGTTACAGATGAGAAAACAGAGGCTGTTAGGGGCTGCACGGTATGTGCTCACCAGCAGTACCTTTGAACCGGGCCCTGTTTGGAGATAAGCTATTTACTGAGCTAATCAAATGACAGTGAGGTCATTAGGGTGGGCCATAATCCAATCTGACTGGTGTCCTCCTGAGAACAGGAGATTAGGAGGTAGACCAGCACCGGGTTGGGGGGTACCCAGGGACATGCCCATGAAGACAGAAAGAAGATGGCCACCTACAAGCCAAGAAAGAGACCTAAGAAGAAATCAACCCTGCTGACACCTCGGTCTGGAACTTTCAACAGCTTGATCTTGGACTTCCAGAGCCTCTAGAACTGTGAAGAAATACATGTCTGTCGGTTAGGCTGCCTACGCCATGGTCCCTTGTCCCAGCCGCTGTAGCAGACCAACACGAAGACACAGAGATTTCAGGGGACTTTTCTGTGGTCACGGCAGGGAGACAGAGAGGGCCTCAGCTGGGACCCCTCTTTCTCCTGGAATAATAATTCTTAAAATACTGCTGTCTACTTTTGGAGCTGCTCCTTTTTACACATAAGTAAATACTTAAAATATTAACATGGAGAAACTCCAGTGCTTTGGGGTTTCGCTTCCAGTGGAGATGCAGAAGTCTAAGGCAGACCATCACCGCCACCAAAACAAGACAAACTGAATAAACCACAAAACCTTATTTTTTTAATCCACTAAAAGGCTGAGATCCCCAAGAAGTTCGAGAAACCAAATTCCAGAGGGACGGTGCTCCTTCCACGTGAGCAAAACCCGGCGGCCACGTTCATCCCTGGGGTAACAGGGAGTAAGGAGCTAACCGGGAAAATTTTATGGAACTTGCAAGAACCAGCCCATGTCTCACAAAACCACATGGACTGCGAAGATGGATTAGATCTGAATTAGAGGTGCTCTGAATCCGGTGCACCAGGCTTTTACCAAGTGTGTGGTGGCTGGCAGGAAGTGGAGGCCAGGGTAAAAAGCAGAGGGATGGCTCCTTAGACCCGAGCCCTTCAGAACCTGCCTCTGGACACTAAGGACACCCCGCCGCAGTTGTGATTAAACAGAGTGCACCCCCTTGGCCTCGAGGCCTCTTCCTCATCACCAGAGAGGAGCCAGCAGAGGACAAAGCTGTCACGTGGAGAAAGAACGGCCCAGAAGCCAGCCCTGCCACGCCCAGGGCAGTGAGGTTGCGGGTGGTTAAGCCAGTCCGATTGCTGTCATTTCCAACCAAATGAATCTCGACTGATACCAAACATTCGCAACCAATTCTTTGCTTCAGAGCATATGTATACATACACACATAGGGTTACATGGGCAATTATACACATTAGCAACATGCAATTTCTGGAGACTCGTGCTGTCTTGTAAGTACTGACGAAACGTGAACCTTTTCGTGCTATCAGTGAACCAGACAATATTACAAAATACCTGCAACTACTTAACAACCAATCACAACAGAACTTGAACTACAAAGTAGACAGTGGTGCTTCAGGGGTCCCTTCATTGGACGTGTTCTGACAAGCCCTTCGCTGCTTGAACCGTGTAGGAGTCGTGTTCGGAAAGGGCCTCGTGGTAAATGTGTCGTGTTAGTTTACCACCTACCTAACCATGACCTGTCTCGTCTGCCGTGGTGGAGGAGGAGACCGAGATTCAAACTGTTACTAAAGATGCTAGTGAAAGATTCCACCCTGACTCTGAAAGGAGAAACTTAAATGGCCATGAAGACAGACAGAAGGTTTTAAAGTAACAACAACCACTTAAAAGCCGAAAAACATTTCAAAATATCCCAAGTGCCATGTCCGTTGTTGAGAATGGCCAAAAAAACTTTCAAAAACTCATGCTCTCACCAAAAGAAAAAAAAAGAAAAAGACTCACACAGACGCCATATTTTCATGCCAAGTTCCAACCTTCCAAACTGGAGTGATATTTTATGAATCGGTTTATAAGGTCCTAAAAATAAGGAGCTGTAACAGAAACAGGATCAGCTTGTCCCCTCTCTGGGAGCCCCAAGGACAGCTAGAAAGGCAAGCTCCATTGTACCCAAGGAAAAGCAGCCGTTTTCTCCAGGTAGCTTTTTATGTGTTGGTACCTCTCTGCCCTACAGCGCATGGCAGCTTACCCGGCCCAGCTCGTAGGTAAACTGAGTGCCTTGTGGAGGAGGAAGAGTTATCAGACTCCACGGCAGGAGCCAGCTGGCTACTCCCAAAGGCACGTCCCAGGCTCAGGTGACATGAGCTTAAAGGCGACAAGGCACGGTGACAGCACAAGCCACCATGTTCAGCCACAAAGAACACATTCCCACGGGAAAGCTTGGATTAGTCTAATTAATCTCTCCAGGAAACTTCAAAACTGTCTTTTGTGCCCTGGCCAGTGTGGCTCAGTTGGTTGGAGCATCGTCCCATAGACCAAAACGTGCCGGGTTCGATTCCCAGTCAGGGCACAGACTCAGGCTGTAGGTTTGATCCCCGGCTGGGGCCCATGTAAGAAGGTACCCAATTGACGTTTCTCTCTTGCATCATTGCCTCCATCTCTCTCTCTCTATCCTCCCTCCCTCCCTTCCTCTCTCTAAAAGCAATGAAGACATGTCCTCAAGTGAGAATTTTTTTCAAAAACGTCTTTTGCTAGTGTCCCAGGGAATTAATTTCCCTACTTTCTAAATTCCCAAGGCGTGACACGTATGAGCTGAACCTATGAAGAGCCCCACTGTGTTCCACACGGCAGCAAAGCTCCCAGAGCACCCTCTGCAAAGCAGGAAGGACCAGAAGCAAAACAGATGCCTTTCTGCTGCGTCTGCGTCCCTCCCCAGGCCCGGAGCCTTGAGCTGGCGCCACCTCGAGAGCAGAGCGCAAGTTTCTCCAGCACAGCGAAGGGCGTGGACGTGAGCTTTGGGGGCGGGGAAGGGCAGGGTATTTCTAAGCAACACCAGAAACGCGCCCCTCGGCACAACTGCTCTTGTTTTCCCCTCGTTTCCATCGCGTCCTCCCCACCCTGCTTTCGTCCCAGTCGCATTTCCTTGTCACAGGCTGAGGAGTCCACGGAAAGGGTGCCCTGGCACTGCCTCCGGGCGCAGGAATGCGAACACAGCACCGGGCAGCATCTAGTCAGCAGTCCCTGCCGTCACGCCCCCGACGAGGAGGAGCTGGCGAGCGGACAAACATTCCTCGACATCACCCGCGCACGCGCACACCCTGGTTTCTGACCGCTGACCAGCAGGCAGCTCACGGGCGCTGGTTCGACTGGAGAGGCAATGAGATTCAAACACTCTTGCCCTTGGATTTCATGGTATGTTTACGCCATGGTCCATCCTCCCTGCTTTTTTTGTAAGGGTACGGAAGGCGCAGAGCAAAACCCTAATGCACGGTGGCAGGCTCTCTCCATTCACCACGCAGAGCTCTCTGGGGGCTGCAGAGACGGCCTTGACCCAGCAAACTCCCCTCGCACGCCCCCGCTGACGGAGGCAGACTGGGCTCAGGAGGGCAACTGCCTGGACGGCAACAGGGCCGCAGGAAAAGCTGGGCCGAGCAGCAGGGCCGAGGCTCGTTTCCGCACAGCCAGGCTGTTCTCAAAGGGAGCTGCCTCACTGGCCTCCATCCGAGGGCCCTGGGATACCAAACGGAGGAGACACACTCCAGTTCTATAGCAGTCTCGAAACTACAAAAGCACAGCTCCCAAAGGTCAACCACAGGGTCCCACAGTCTCCAGGTAGGAAGTCCCCCTGTGGGCAGCAGGATGCCTGCCTTCACCAGGGGACGCTCATAGGCAGGTGGGCGGTGACGCAGCACCGTGTAGTGTTCCTAGACACCCAACGGGTCACCCACAGGCTGCTCGGACACAGCATGGAATGCAAGGACACTGGGCTCTCACCCCGAGATGTTGATTCATTCAATCACCAGTAAAAAAAAAAAACCCAAGTCCCACCGTAGACCAATCAGATCGGGACACTGGGGGACGGGTCAGTGGATGGCATTGTTTAAAGCTGTTGGTTCTCACAGTGCAGCCCAGTCAGGTTTACCTGGACGGCCTGGGCCTGCCCCACCGTTTCTGATGGGGAGGGTGGCACGTGCTGTGATGAGAACAGGTTTCTGGGTGACGTCAACACTGCCAGCCCAGGGGCCACACCGTGAGCACCCCCACTCCCTGGGACCCCAGGGCGGCTCTAATTCACGCATCCAGGACGAAGGACCACTGCCTTGGGAAACTGAGCCCTGGCCAGGGCGCTGAGGGGAGGAATTCCCGCCCCAGCCCTGTGCCAACCTGGAGCCTGACAACAGCAGGACATCGAGGTGTCAGGGCCTCAACGTCTCTCATTCCATAAAACAGAGACGCCGTGTTCATGGGACCCTGGGCTCCTTCCAGAAACGCCTTTACTCAAAGGGCTGCTACAAGCAAGACACCAAAGCTCATCTAGACAGAAAGGAGGAGGAAGGGGCCTTGCAGGAATTAAGGAAAAGCTTTCAAACTACAGGGGGAGGTGAATTCCTGCTGACGTGACTTTGGTGCATCTGGGGACACACCAGTGGGGGCGGTCTGGAGGCGTGCCACCGAGCCAAACGGGCGTGTGCTGTTTCCCAGACTCACCTGTGAGAACCTGGCAGAGCTGCCCAGGTTCCGGGGCCTCGGTGGCGGGGCTGGATGTGGAGGGCCATCTGCGCCTGACCAGGTGCTCCCGTCCGCTGGCCGAGCCCTGGGAGTTGTTGAGGGGCTGGATGAGCACCCGCTCCTGCCCCAGCTGGATGAGGCCGACCTGCCCGGGAGAAGGAAGACGGGGTGTCGGTCACCTTCACGCACACACGCCTGCGACCCCGGCAGCCCACGGGCGGCAAGGCCACCCTGCTACAGCCTGGTTCCCGCATTTGGGCTTTTTCTTCACAGGCTGCCCCCACGGACCGAGCCCATGAAGCCACTTTTGTGTGGCTGGAAGCATCCCACCAGCAGAAGCGTGGGGGAGGGGGCGTGAGGTGTGGAGGGGTACAGTGACGTATGCAACAGGTTTGCTTTCCAAGATGCATTTATTAATAAAAACAAACTTGATGTTTACAATAATTTTTTTAAATCGTCCCCCCAAAGCCTAACTGAAGTGGCAACCCCAAATGTGTATGGACTGAATGACAATTATATCCTTAACGAGAAATTGCACATCTCCCTGGGGATACTTAGAACTAAACAAGATGGATGCCCTGGCTGGTGTGGCTCAGTGGACTGAGCGCCAGCCTGTGAACCAGAGGGTTGTGGGTTCGATTCCCAGTCAGGGCACATGCCTGGGTTGTGGGCCAGGTCCCCACTGGGGGGCGTGTGGGAGGCAACCACACATTGATGTTTCTCTCCTTCTCCTTCTCCCTTCCTCTCTCTCTAAATATAAGTAAGTAAAATCTTAAAAAAAATAGAGAGAGGACGAGAGACCTGTATGATCACTAGCTCTGTGGTAAGGGATTTGTGCATTTCCCCCTAGAACTTACAGCATTTGAGAGAACTTAACAAAGAATCTAAAGTGCATCGTGATCTAGCCTTGTGATTTTAAAGTCTTCCTATGTTTATAAGCAGCACTAGAATGTATAAGAGAACTTAGAAAACTCCCCAGGTTTGTAAGACTAACTTATTTAGATTTATAAGAATCACTTAAGTACTTGCCAAGGGTGTGCTTTTTAACCCAACAAAGACCAGTGGTCCTCAAACTCCTCAAAATCACCTGGAGGCACACGCCCGTCTAACAGGTCCCATGGGACAGGGATGCTGCCATCCGCCACAGCACACTGACCCCTCCAGTCTTGAGTAGAGAACTCACTCAAGCCCAATCACACAGGTCCCGCCCGCCACCTTTCAAAAGGATGCATGGGTACCAAGCCTCTCCGAGAGTCAATCAGTTCACCCAGCAAGATCGCCTCCAACCTCCACTGCTCTAAGCAGATTTCAAGGTTTCCAATCCATTAGAACGTCTGCCAACAACAACTCAGAGATTTTACTGCCCTAATAAAACTCTTCGAGTGGCACCGTGCGGCCTGCAGGGAAGTGTGGCCTTCGCCCTCTCCCCTGAAGCTCCAACTTGACCGTGTTAGACACTTGCAGGCTTTGGAGAGACGGAAGTGGGTTCGGCCCGGAGGAGCCCCATGCGTCCGGGAGGAGGCGCTCAGCTCTAACAAGGGACCCCACTTCCTGGAATGCTCCGGGGTGCTGGAGGTCAAAGGCCCCCTCGGGTCTAGCACTTTCAAAGCCAGTGATCAATGGTTCAACCTAGTGTTTACATTCATAAGCTGCTGCACAAAAGGCCAGTTAGCAGGTAATTCTAATAAAATGCAATGTATATATAGGGAAAATCTCACCTTGGGGAGAAATCCTACTAACACACAGTCTAGCCCCTGGTGGTGGTGGGGGGTGGGGCGGAGTGCTTTAGAAGGTCTTGCTTGGAAGAACCCACAACTCCAGCCTCCAAATGGCAACCTCCTCCAGGAAGCCCCCTCAGCTATCACCAGAGACTCCCTAGTCAACAGCCAGAAAGGCTCCTCGTTGACTGTAGGCCAGTGACCCTCCAAATACAGCACCTGGGAACCTGCTAGAAATTCCAGCTCTCAGGCCGGAGTGGGGCCTCGCCTCCCACCGCTACCCCACAGCCAACTCGCTGGCTCTTCTCTCAGGCAGGCCCCGGCCACAGTGCCTTTGCTGTCACCCTCCCCCTCAGAACCTGAGACCCATGCCCTTCAGCCCCCCTCCCTCTGCCACCCCCAACCACCCTGCAGGCCCCACTGTGCCTTCCTTCCCATGCAAATCTGGGCTGCCCCCTGCCCCTGAGACAGGGCCTGCATTTATTTCTCTTGGAGGCTTGACGAGAGCCTACCACAGTGTCCTGCCCATGGCAGGTGTGTGACAATGGCCTGGTCAACAGTGCTGACTGACTGGTTGATTTGTAACTGGCAAGTCTGGGAACCACCTGTGGGGTGAGAGGAGAGATGTCTTTTTAATGCATTAACGTGCCAGCTCTCAATGATTTCACAGACTTCCTCTGGTTCATTGTATCCATAGCCACGCACGGCCAATATTATTCACCCACTGCCCCTGCCCCATAGGGCTGCAGGTGGGGAGGTTCCCAGGAGCTGAGGGACTTGTTCCAGGACCGCAGCCCGACGGGTCGTGCAGTCTCATTTCCTAAAGAAAGAGAGCGTGACCGTGCATCCGCGTGTAGAAGCCACACAGGGAAAGGTTAACCAGTGGCTCTGCGTGGTTCCCTCTGATGTGCTGGCTGCAAAACCCTCTCCCGTCAGACACATCCAAGGTCAGGCAGCTGCAGCCCTTCAGAGTACAGGAAATCAGTTCCAAGAATGCAATCAGTGGAACTGTCTTCAGCTCATCATTCCATCTCGAACATCTTCAAAAAAAATGCTGCCGACGAAGCAAAAGTTCAAATGAGGAAATCTCCTTGTGTAGCCTAGGTGACAGTCACGGGCAGTCTGACAGAATGTCACCATAAGGCCATGTGACCATCCTTCCAGAGAAGGTTTGGCTGTCTTAGAATTCTCTGCTCCAGTTCTTCCCTCGTGTTCCTCCGTGCCTCCGAATTTCACCACCGTCCTTTGCCACCTCCTTGCTTCCTTTCAGCTCCACTCAATGGTTCCTTCTCACAAAGCTTTCAAAACACACTTTGCACTTCCCAAATATATTTATGCTGCACGTGAGAATATTAATTGATAAGTCACACTCTCTTCTAAAGGAGCGATGGCAGCACCCCTGGCCTGCCACTCCATCACAGGACTCAAGTAAATGCAGGCTGCCCTCTTGAGAATGGGGCCCCCACCGGACTCTTCCAGTGTGGGCTGCCAGCTGTGACCTCAGCACCCTGCTGTTCCTGTTTGAACCACACTTTCCCCCGGGAACGGGAGTGAGCATTGGCCAAAGCTCCCAAGCACACCAGGAGAAAGAGCTGTCAGAACTGTGAATGAGAGAGCTGAATTTCTGCCACCAAAATGCCCACGCAGCAGGCGGAGTGACCAGCCGGAGCCAGGTGGGCTGAGCCATCAGGCCGACCCTGGTGGCCTCAACCCTGGATGGGGGTTTTGTGCACACGGAAGCACAAAACCTAAACCATGAACTGGGCATGGCCGCCTAACCACCAGCTAGGTCCTCTATCATTCTGACACAGGGAACTGTGAGACGCTCCGCCAAAAGCTTCCATTATTAACTCACTCACCAAACATTCGCTGAGAGCCTAGGATGTGCTGGGCATCATCAAAGTTCCAGGTATGCAAAGCTGGTTAAAAAATGGTCACTAGCATCTTCTTTGTGAGGGAGAACAAGTACTTAAAGAATAATTAATGATATGCCAGGTGGACAAAGGCACAGAGGAAAGGGGAGGAGTAAGAGAGGTGTCAGAGGTGTTGCAGCAAAGATGTTGCTGAGGGAGGAGGAGAAATTCAACAGGCAGAGGAGAAGCAGCCCCATGGGCTGTGGCTGTGACTCCAGAGATGGCGCCCTGACCTTCTCTCTCTCTCCAGGGAGGCCCACGGGAAACGGGTGCAGTTCTGAACCTCCCACAGCCCCCAGCTCCTCGGGGTCCAGTCTGGTCTCAACACCTCACACACAGCACGCCCAAAGCAGGCATAGCCTCGCCACGAAATGGGTGGACAGGTCCTGATGTGTGCAATCCCCGGAGTTTGCAGGTGTTCATCTGAGGCAGAAATGCCACTGCTCAGCTGACCAAACCCACTGGGATGGAAAACAGGCCCTTCATCCCAACTCTTCAGGCAGACAGCACAGAGAGTCATTTTAGACTCTGCCACCCCTTCTGCTCCTTGCAGTTCCAGCTCCGCTGCCAGTTCGGCAGAAGCTCCACCTGATTCCCTCTCTGATGGCAATCCACAATCGGGTCCTCTTCACGGGAGGTGACTGGTCCAGACTCACATCCGTCACTTGGGGCAGGAGACACCATCCTCACGTGCCCAAACATCACTGCTTCCAGACACTCTTCCCAAACCTGACATGGGAGCTAAGGGCTCTCTGACATGTAAATGCAATGAAGCAGCATTGACAGAAAACAATCCATGTGAGCCTGTGGCCTCTGTGGACCCCAGAAGTGCAGCTTGCCCCCCTCTCCAAAATAAGACGCAGAGAGAGGAAATGCCACGGGCCCTCGCCTGTGCCCACCGGCAAACGCGGTGGGTGGAGGGCACACGGAGTGTGAGATTTACTCTTCCTGCCCCTGAACAATGAAGAGAGGATCTATTCCAATCACGTACCTTCTCTAAACATCTCTGGAGCGCCCCGGCCCGGCGGAGCCCGCGTTCCTCTGCCCCTGCGCCCGACACTCTCCACTGGGCCGTGGAGAGGATGTTGGACGTGGCAGGATTTAACTCACCAGCAGCATAGAGTTTTATTGAACACAGCCACGTCCATCTGTTTATTTACTGTCTGTGGCTGCTGCCTCAGGAAAATGACAGTGTTGAGTAGTGGCAACAGAGCGCATCTGGCCCTCAAAGCCTGGGATATTTACTATTGGGACTTTTAAAGACTAAGTTTGCTCGGCATGACTCTCTAGCTACAAGGAGGCTCTGCGACACCACCGTCTGTGGCCACCAAAAATTATCTACGTGGCGTTGCCTGTCTCTCACGCCTTGTAGCCACGCCTGCCCTGACACATGCCACATGCATGCACTCCCCAACACCCCACCCCTGCACCCCATCTTCACCTCGAGATGCTTCCGCCATGGTCAAGAGTGACGGACACGCGCCCACCCACCTGAACTGCCTCAAGCACATCTGAGAATCCACATGCAAGCAGCGTGGAGTGCCATGCAAACTTGGTTAGCCTACTTTCCCGTTCTTTCTCTTCTCCGTGCGTTCCGGGACTGCGTTGCACCTAAGAGATCCACTCCAAGTCACCAGGCTGCCTCTGCCCTCCTGCCTTCAGCCAGTGTGTTTGGGAGGAAGGGTCTAACATCCAGCATCCCGTTCACACGAACGGGATGAACAAGGCAGACTAAACAACCGAAGTGTCTGCTCCGGCAGGAATTTAGAATCTCTTAGTCTTAGAGGTCCACGCGCAGCTGGCACAGCCGAACTCAGCCTCTTGGCCGCGTTCCTTTATCTAAAGCACAGCGCCCCCACATGGTGCCGAAGGGAAGGGCAGCCCCCACTGCCCCGAGGAGAACTGAAGTGAACCCTCCCTGCTCGCATGCCATCTGTGAGTGGGCCCAGCGCTCACTCTGTGGGGATTTAAATCAATGTTATCCAGATTTCCACCCTCCGCTCCTTCACAGATAGCTGCTCGCTGGAAACTTTACACCAAGAAGTATAAACTCTGACCTCTACAGAAACTCACTAAACCGCAGCAAATGGGATTCAGATGTTTCCATGTACAGTACAGTGATGTGACCTAGACTTTTAAACACTTTGGCAAAAACAGCAAAAATGATGTGGGCCTTCCAGTCCCTCCCAGAACATGATACAGCCTTGACCCGAGTCCTTCAGCGATCCGAGCCTTTCTCACTCCGACTTAAGCCTGTTCGCCCACGGCCCACAGGGTCTGCCCCCCTCCACGGGCCATTAGCCTCGTCTAACCGAAGAAACCAATTTCTCCCTTCTGAGCAACAGTAGATCACATTCTGCCACAGGAAAGTCCTGAAAGGGACGCTGGTGAGGGCCCGTCCTAGGACATGACCCCTGGGGTCCCCCAACATTGCTCCGAAGAAAGCAGAAGTCTCCCATAAAAACCTGCACCCCCAGGCTTTCTGGCGTTGTTGCCGATTCTAGGAGACGGGTTGCAGCCCAGGTGGGGCAGGGCTAGGGGATTCTAGATGGTGCAACCAGACAGGATCGAGGTGGGGGGAGTGGTTTCTTGTGCTTGGGAAGGACAGCCACAAAAGAATACCAGAAACTGCTTCCCCGGCAGCCAGTCCTGACAGTTGACAGAGAAACAACTGTGTGTTTTATGCCCTAAGCCTCTACCAGGCTTTGCTGGAGGAGACCCATCTGCTAGCCATGTGGGCTCCTCCAGGCACCATGGGGAAGCTGAGAAGCATTTGGCTGGGCATCGGTGTATCCGAGGGATCGCTCTGAGTGCAAGCAGGGCAGAGGTGCGCAGAACTTCTCCTGCCCCTCGCAGCACCTGCCACACAGGTGCCCCAAATGCAGCAGGGCAGAGTCTGGGGGACAGAGGAAGAGCTACTGCCACAGCAAGGGAGCTCCTGGGGACAGGGAGAAACATATCACCAAGGTAAACACCCCTCGGGGCTGGTGTGACAAATGCCTACATGTCACATAAGGGAACAAGGACATGAACACCCTCCCCCTCCTGGTTCTCGCGATTCAACTAATTTGGGTGGGTTAGTGGCCCGTCAGCAAAGCACTTCAAAAGTCCTTTTCCAGGTACAGAGAGGCTCAAAAGGGCAGGACAGCGAATGTCCACCACCCCGTCCCCACACCCAATAAGAGGTGAGATACACACACACAGGCATTCTCCAAGACGTGCACACATACACACCTCTGCAGGTGCAAATGCTGTATTCTCTACACTGGGCGAAGTGCGCCTCTCAGCCCAGGGGCCCGACAGGGATGGCTGGACCTGCGCTCCCCAGAGCAGGTAGACCAGCCCAGAAGGCTGAAATTCCCATCGAGGTGCTCCCACCCGCACCCCAGCCCTCCTCGGGGACCACCCCCTGCGCTGCGACAGACCGACAAGCAGACCCGGAGGGGGCGCAGGCAGTACCAGGCCGCCGGCGGCGCCGCAGGTGCTGATCGAGACCAGGGAGCCTGGGTGGCCGAGCACACTGCCGGAGTAGAAACACAGCTCAGCGGGGCGTCCGCGGCGCCCGGACGTGCCGGCCTCCTCCACCTCGAAGCCGTGGGACAGGAAGCGCAGGTCGCGGCGCAGCTGCAGGTAGAGGTCGCGCCCAAAGGCCGGCAGGTGCAGCAGCAGAGCGCGCTCTCCGGGCGGGGGGCGCGCGGGGGGCGCGCGGGGTCGACGCCGTCTTCCGGGACCGGGGATGCGGGGCAGTGGCGGCAGGTGCACGTCGTCAGGGCGCACCCGCCGCGGGAGCACAACTTCCACGTCGGCTGCAGTGTCGCCGACAGCTGAGGGGAGAGAGGAGACGCGTCAGCGCCGTGGGGCCCGCCCGGCCGCCCGGCCTCCAGCCGGCCGCCCGCAGAGCGCGAGTCCAGCGCTGGGCACATCGCGCCAGCAGCGGGACAAGGCGGCCCCGAACGGGCGCTCTCATCCCTTCCCTCGCCCCGGCACCTCCGTGCCCGCCAGCGCCTCCGCCCGGGCCCGACCACCCGGGGAAGCTCTCCCGCGCGGCCGCCCGGCTCAGAGCCCCGTCCCGCGGCTGCGGCCTGCGCCTCCTCGGCCCCGGGCGCTGTCAGCAATCCGCCTCCGGAGCCGGGCTGCGCGGTCAGACAGAGGATGCCTCGGCAGGACAGAAGCAAGGTGGTCGCGAGAGGCACCGGCGAAGAAGATCGGTGGGAGAGGGAGCGCTACCTGTGCCCGGGTCCAGTCCCCAAACCAGCAGCAGCAGCAAGGGCAGGACGAAAGAAGGCAGCAGGGCGCCGTCACACATGGTACTTGGGAGGAGCAGCCCCCCGGACAGTGGCGGCGGAGCTAGAGCGCGCGAGGCGGCGGCGCCAGCCGGAGTGAAACCCTCCTCCTGCCTTTGGAAAAAGTAATTAGCGCTGCGGACAAACCCAACGTGGTAAATCCCAAGCCCCGCCTTCTCCTCCAAGAGCAGGAAATGATTGGATTCTTTCTTTCCCCTGCCCCGCCTCCCCCTTCTCTATTGGCTAGGACGGGTCAAAACGAGGGTGCGTAGTTAGGTTGTAAGCACTTTCTTACACGTGGTTTCTGCGCAGAGGCGGGTATCCGACACCAGGTGGCGCGCGATCCCGGAGGACCCTGGAGTACACCTTGGAAGACCACCGGGAGGACAAATCTTCAGAGTTTATGCTCATTTTTAAAGTCCTCTGAGCCTGCTGCCTAGCTGCACACACACACACACACAGGAAATTGTCCCGGCCAACTGTTTTATGCATAAGATGAATATTCTATGCATCTAAAGTAAAACTAATTTTGGTTGTTTGAGGCCTGGCACTTTCCTGCACACCTGTGTCTGCACCTCATGGATGGCCATATCCAATACAGCGGTATTTATCCAAAGCCTTCACACCTCCTGCCGTCTTTATCCTCACAGAAGCCAGTGAAACGGGGGTGATCACACCCTCTTACAGACTGAGAAACTGAGGGAGAGCTTAAGGAGCTGGTTGAGTTACCCAGCAAGTTACCGTTAGAGCATGAGCTACAATTTGTGGTCCTGACTTCCAGCTCGGAGCTGCTCGCTAGGAACAGCTGGGGCACTTAAAGGAGGGCAGGGAGGAATATTAGCTGGGTTCTACTGGTTACAAAGTTGGGGCATAATATAGTGGCAGAGTCTGAACTGGAATCCAAGTCTTCTGGCATCAGAATGAGTTCATTGCCGCTCCCCTCCACCAGACTAGCACCTTTCTTAAGGAAAAGTGATTCTTTTAGCTTCCTCAGGCCACTTTGTAAAAAAAAAAAAAAAATCATAGTGTAACTGTTCCTGGGTCCCTCCCCTCCCTTCCCTCTCACACCACTATCGGACTCTGCTTGAGAACTCTAGAAACTGACCACAGAATTCATATCAGAAAGAATCAAGTAGTGAACACCAAGCAGCTCCCACAATATTTAATCAAACCAGGGAGTGGACAGTGTCACTGATTCTCAGTGAAGTCCACCGCCGTCACTACTGCATACTAGATGTTCTGTGTGTCCCCGGCGGTACGGTCGGTGGATGCATTGGCTGCCCTCCATGGGCGCTGGCCGCTTCTAGGCACCTGCAGCTCCTGGAAGCCTCAACACAGGCTCCCTGCTCATGGCCAGACCTGGGGCTTCTTTCCTCCCGCCTGACAGCAGCCTCAGCCAAAGGAGGGCTCAGCAGCACCTTCTGGTGGCCCAAGAAATTATGATGAGCTTTTTGGTGCAGCTTTGTTGGCAAAAGAGCCACCTCAGAGGCCTGCCGCCGAAAGCCAGGGAGTAGCAGCCACACTGCCTCCCCAAGAGTGATTACTTCTGTCATCAGAGTTGGTCCAAAGTAGTCGCTGTCCACGTAACTGATGCATTACTCAGTCCGCAGGGGCATGCAAACTGAAGCAGCAGTGAGGTATCATTTGGCCCCCTAGACTGGGCACAACAGAAGAGCTTAGAAATACCAAAACGTAAGAGAGGACACTCTTCTGTACATGGGTGGGAGTAGAAACTGGCACAGCCACTTGGAAGAGCAGTTGGGTGAACTGCAGTAAAATTAAAAATGCACACACCCAGCAACTCTGTAATTCCCCCTTTGGTTCGCTACCATGGAGAAACGCTGGCATGTGGACAAGAATGGTCACCGCAGCACACTGCTCAGAGCACAAAAACCTCGCAAAGACCCAAACGTCCATCATGAGATACATGGCTAACAGAACACCAGGCATCAAGAAATTGAGTAATCTCGTATTTGTCACAACATGGGGAGACCTCCAAGACTGGTTGTCCATTTTTTAAATTGAATCGCAAAATAATAAATATTAAAGAATAATACTTAGGTTGAACACACAGTGGTAAAGAATTTGGGTGATAGAAACCACAGAGCAAAGTCTGAAAGGATACAAACTAAACATTTTTAAAGTGTCCTGTTCTTTTTATATTAAATTGCATAAAAGGATGCTTCATCCGGGTCCAGCCAGGATAACTGATACCATTTTACAGGGGTGGGAGAAAGCAGGTTTAAAGTTGTGAGCACATGAAACAGAGTTTATTCTTGTCTATTCATTTATGTATTAATGATTGTATTATTTATTTGTATTACTGGCCTTGTTATTGTTATTATTTCCTACCCTTACTTATGATTCCTCTTTTAGGCAATGGTGGCTGGTAATTTAACCTGCTTTGCTCCACCCCTGTCAGTATGTCCAGCTGACATACTGAGGGGGTTTAACACAGAGAAGTGCTAGTCAAGGTCGGGAAGGGCTGAGAGAGTAAGTTCAGTGACTGCCCATTGCCCCTGTCCCTGGGGTGCACTGTCGCCCCAGAGGCCTGTGCCTGTTGCTGCCCTACTGCAGCCATTGTATAGTTGGCTCTGGATCTTCCAGAGGTGTGACCTTGACCAGGACCCCCTGGCCACTGTCACACCAGCCACTTCCAACACCTGCTGCCCTGGACCCCACCCCTCCTTCCCTTGCCATCTGTTCTCCTGCCAGAACCTAAGAGAAAGCCTAAGAAAATGTAATAGAGTCAGAGCAGGTAGGTTGCAGACTTCCAGTTCCAACAAGAGAATGCAAAACATAGAAGTTCTGCATTAGTGGGGTGAATAGACAGACCCTCTAAGTAGAGGTCTTAGTTTGGCCCACAGGAGTCTGAATTCTCTTCGTATCTCGTCACTGTGTCCATGGGTCACCACTAAAAGTTTAAGCTTCCCTCTCAGCATGATGTATGGACTCAATCCCTTTCACTACTTCACTGGAGTTTTTCAGAGAAAAAGAAAAAAACTGGAGTTCATATGAAACCACAAAAGAAACCCAAATAGCCAAAGCAATCTTGAGAAAGAAGAACAAAAATGGAAGTATCACACTTTCTGATTTCAAACTATACTACAAAGCTACAGTGATCAGAACAGTAGGGTACGGCATCAAAACAGGCACACGGACCAATGGAACAGAATTGAGAACCCAGAAATAAACCCATGCCTATAGGGCCAACTAGTATTTGACAAGGGAGACAAGAAATACTCAAGGACAGTTGCTTCAAAAATGGTAAGGAGAAAACTGGATAACCACATGCAAAATAATAAAAATAGACCCCTATCTTACACCACTCACAAGAAAAAAAAAACACAACAAACAACTCGAGATGGATTAAAGACATAAAGGTGAGACCTGAAAGTGTAAAACTCCTGGAAGAAAACCCAGGGGGAAAAGCCCCTTGACATTGTCCTTGGCAATGATTTTCTGGATATGACACCAAAAACACAAGCCACAAAGCAAAATAAACAAGTGGGACAACGTTGAATCTAAAAGCTTCTGCACAACAAAAGAAAAAGTGAACAAAATCAAAAGGCAATGTGCTGAGCAGTAGGAAATATTTTTGATCTACATATATGATAAGTGGTTAATGTCCAAAATATATAGAGAAATCAGCCCTGGCTGGTGTAGCTCAGTGGATTGAGTGCTGGCCTGTGAACCAAAAGATTGCAGTTTGATTCCTAGTCAGGGCACATGCCTGGGTTTCAGGCCAGTTCTCAGCAGGGGATGCATGAGAGGCAACCATACATTGATATTTCTCTCCCTCTCCTTCCCTTCCAGAAATAAAAAAATCTTTTAAAAAAAGATTTAGTTACACTCATCCTTCCTTTAAAAACAAACAAACAAACAAACAAACAAAAAAGAAACAAAACAGTATGGAGGCCCCTAGGAAAGCACTAATAGAACTACCACATGATCCACCAATCCCATTTCTGGGTATACATCGGAAGACACTGTGTTAAGTGAGATAAGTCACTCACAAAAAAGACAAACACTGAATGATTCCTCTTATGTGAGGTATCTGGAGTGCTGATATTCATAGAGACAGAGGGGTAGGATGGTGATAACTAGAGGCTAAGGGAGGGGACAGGGAGTTAGTGTTGAATGGGGACCTAGTTTCAGTTTGGGAGGGCGAAATAGTTCTGAAGGTGGACTCTGGTGATGGTTGTCCAACAATGTGAATTTACTGAAGGCCACTGAACTGCCCACTTAACATGGTTAAAATGGCACATTTTAGGTTATGGATGTTTTCCCACAATAAAACAAAAATGCTTTAATGAGAAATCCCTATTTGCTGTCATCTCATTTCATAGCAGCACCCACAGGTTGCCTTGTCTCAGTGTTTTGGAAGGGTGGGGCTTAAGCCTGTTTCACAGATGGAGGGGTTGGGGCTCAGGGGCAGAGGAGAAACAAGACACCCCTACGGACTGGAGGCCTAGGTGGCAGCAGAGGTCTGGGTGCCATGTGAACGCTGGCCCCCTTGGTTGGCTCTGGGCCCTAACAATTCCTTGTGCTCACAACTCACAGAGCTCCTCCATTTTCAGCGTGGCCGCCTGCTGTTCGTGAACACCTGGGGGCAGTGGTCCTTCTCACCACGCTGCCGGAACTGACCCTGGCAAGTCAGTTGGTTACGCGCCTCTCCTGGACAGTTCCCGCCCGAAGGCCCTGTCTGGAGCTCGGAGCCATCATTCTGGCCATCACTCTTGCTGTGGTTGAAAGCAGACAGCCCCTAAAGCAGCACAGACTAGGTGTAAAGAGGACTGCAGGTGCTTAGGCCAAACTTGACCCCCACTTTAATCCCCCCACTCAGGGCTTTCCTGAGCTGGTGATTGCCCGGTGAAGTGCCTGGAACCTGGTGTACACTTGACCCATTTGTAGGTACAAGAAGGCCCTGCACAATAAAGATCACTAGGCATTGGCCAGGGAGGGAGGTGAGAAGACGGGAGGGGACCAGAGAGGGGCTTCCACGTGACAACCTCCTGTTGGAGACCACAGGCACATGGTTCTTGAGCCCCCCAACCCTCCTCCTGGGCAGCCCAGGGCCTGTCACATGCCCTCCAG